GTCTCGTCACCACCGCTCCTCTGCACATTTCGATGTGATGGAGACGGGGTACGACTTCATTCTCGGCACTCCGTGGTCTCGTCGGTTCCGCAGCACCGAGGCCGATTGGGCGACCAACACTCTCGTTCTCAAAACGAAGTGTGGACAGACGTATCGCGTACCTTTCATAGGTACCACGGCGACACCACGCCCCGATCCTCCTCCCTCGGAGCCTTCAGTGCCCACACCATCTCCCTCTATCATTGTCACCTCGCCTCGGCAGTTCGCTCACTTCATTCGACAGCACAACGTCACCTTCTTTATGGCGGACGTGACGGATCTCTTACACTATGATCCACGCTGTCCCGACGTCGAGCTCATCCCTCTGGAGCCAGATCCTCCCTCTATCTCCATGACTCCCATCTCTACTTCCGTCCCTCCGCCGTCCGTCGAGTCCACCCCGCCGTCGCGCGCTGACGCTGACGCTGAAGAACTCGCAGTGGTGAAGGTACCACGACGTTTTCCCATCGTCGTTCTCGTACGCCGGCATCCCACCAATGCGTGACATTGAGCACTCCATTCAGCTCGTGCCTGACTATCGTGTTCACCACCAGGCACCCTACAGACTCTCGATCCCCGAGGCCACCGAACTCGAGCGTCAGCTTGAGGAGCTCCTGAGACTGGGTTTCATTAAACCCAGCAACTCCCCGTGGGGTGCACCCGTCCTCTTTGCTCGCAAAGCGGATGGAACTCTTCGTCTCTGCATCGACTACCGCGGTCTCAACCGCTACACGATTAAGAACAGCTACCCCATGCCTCGTTCCGATGAGCTGTTCGACCGCCTAGCAGGCAACTGCTTCTTTACGAAGATTGATCTTCGTAGCTGTTACCATCAGATCCGCGTCGCTGCAGCCGACCAGCCGAAGACCGCGTTCCTATCGCGATTCGGCCACTACGAGTTCACGGTGATGCCATTCGGCCTCACCAACGCACCCACTACCTTCCAGAGGGCGATGAACGACATCTTCAGGGACATCCTGGAGCAGTACGTTCTCGTCTACCTCGACGATATCCTGGTCTATAGTCGTACCCTTGAGGAGCACCTCAGACACCTCCGCGACGTCCTTGACCGCTTGCGCAAACATGGCTTCTACGCCAAGCTAAGCAACTGCCGCTTTGCCCAGCACAAAGTGGATTTCTTAGGGCACTACGTGTCTGACCAGGGTCTCCACATGGACAACGCGAAGATCACTGCTATTGCGGAGTGGCCCGCTCCCACATCCGCCAAGCAGCTTCGCAGCTTCCTCGGCCTGACCAACTACTATAGTAACTTCATCCGGGGATACGCTAGGTATTCCTACGTCCTTACCTCCACCCTCCTCCGGGGATACGCTAGGTATTCCTACGTCCTTACCCCACCCTAGGCTTGGACACCCCTCCACGAGGACGCCTTCCGCGCTCTCAAGAAGGCGGTGACATGCGCACGGGTTCTTCACCTACCCGATTTTGACCGCCCTTTTATCCTTACCACCGATGCGTCAGACTTCGCTGTAGGACCAGTGCTTTCTCAGGTCTTCCCCTCATCTCCTGATTCTTCTCATCCTCGTATCCCTCGCTTCCCACCACCTACCCCTACCACTGCTTCCCGACTGACGCCTACTCGTCCAGCTACTGACGAGCCTTCTATTGACTATTCTCCTACCATCGTCGAGGACGGCACTGTCGAGTCTCGCTCAGGTGATTGTCCGATAGCCTTCTACTCCCGTCAGCTCCTGCCCGCCGAGATAAACTACACTGCTGATGAACGTGAGGTTCTCGCAGTAGTTTATGCCGCTCGGCACTGGCGTCACT